GGACACAGCTAAGGCAGTCCTGAGGAGGAAGTTTATAGCCATGAGTGCATATATTAAAAAGATTGAAAGATCCCAAATCAATGGCCCTAATGATACATCTCAAACTCCTAGAAAAACAAGAACATCAGCAAATCCCAAAACAAATAGAAGGAGAAGAAATAATATAAAATAAGAGCTGAATCAATGAATAGAAAACAAAAAAAACCATACAAAAGAATTAATGAAACAAAAGTTGGTTCTTTGAAAAATATAAATAAGATCGGATAGACCCCTGGCAAACCTGACTATAAATGAGGAGAGAAAAAAACCCAAATAGTAGAATCAGGAATGCAAAAGGGGAGATAACAACAAACACAATCGAAGTCCAGGAAATCATCAGAGACTACTTTGAGAACCTATATTTCAAATAAATTTGAAAATCTAAAAGAAATGGACAGATTTCTAGATATATATGATCATACAAAACTGAACCAAGAGGATATTAAAAACTGAATAGATCTATAACACAAAATGAAATTGAAGCAGCAATCAAGAGTCTCCCCAAAAAGAAAAGTCCAGAACCTGATGGATTCGCTGCTGAATTCTATCAGACCTTAAGAGAACTGTACAACCCTCCCTTAACTGTTCCATGAATAGAAAGGAAGGAAAACTGCCAAACACATTTTATTTGAAGCAGTATACACTTATCCCAAACAGGCAAGACACCTCCAAAAGGGAACTATAGCCAATCTCCTAATGAACATTGATGCAAAAATCCTCAACAAAATAATGCAAACCGAATTCGCAACACATCAAAAGATTATTCACCACGACCAGGTAGGCTTCATTCCCAGGATGCAGGGTGGTTCAACAATGAAAATCAATAAACGTAATAAACCACATTAACAGAAGCAAAGACAAAACCACTTGATCATCTCTAATAATGCAGAAAAAGCCTTTGATAAGATCCAACTCAATCATGATAAAAGCTCTAAGAAAATAGAATAGAAGGAAAGTCCTCAACATTATAAAGCTATATATGACAAACCTACAGCCAGCATTATACTTAATGGAGAGAAACTAAACCATTCCTCTAAAATCAGAACCAGACAGGATTGCCACTATCTTCCACTCCTATTCAACATAGTACTGGAATTCCCAGGCAATTAGGCAAGAAGAAGGAATAAAGGAATACAAAAGGTAAAGAAACTGTCAAAATTATCCCATTTGCAGAGACATGATCCTATACCTTAAAGACCAAAAACTCTACTCAGAAGCTTCTAGACATCATCAATAGCTATAGCAAGGTAGCCAGATATAAAATAAATAGAAAATCATTAGCATTTCTATACACTAACAATGAGCAAACGGAAAAGAATGTATGAAAACAATTCCATTTACAATAGCCTCAAAATCAATACCTAGGTGTAAACCTAACAAAGATGTGAAAGACCTCTACAGAAAAACTATACACTTCTGAAGAAAGAGATTGAGGAAGCTATAGAAAGTGGCAGAATCTCCCATGTAATGGAATTGGTAGATCAACATAGTAAAAATGTCGATTACTCCCAAGTAATCTACATGTTTAATGCGCATTCCCATCAAATTCCAATGACATTCGTTTAAAGAGATTGAAAAATCTACTGTGAATTTATATGAAACACAAGAGGCACGAATAGCCAAGCATACTCAGTCAAAAGAACAATGCAGGAGGTATCACAATACCTGACTTCAAACTATTATTACAAAGCAATAACAATAAAAACAGCATGGTACTGGCACAAAAACAGACATGAAGACCAGTGGAACAATAGAGGATCCAGATATGAAGCCACACAACTATGAGCAACTTATCTTTGACAAAGGAGCTAAAAAATATACGATGGAGAAATAGCAGCCTCTTCAACAAAAAACTGCTGGGAAAACTGGTTAGCAGTCTGCAAAAAACTGAAACTAGATCCATGATATCACCCTATACCAATTAACTCAAAATGGATCAAGATCTTAATATCAGACCCCAAACTCTTAAGTGATACAAGAAAGAGTAGGAAATACTCTGGAGTTAGTAGGTATAGGTAAGAACTTTCTCAATGAAACCCCAGCAGCACAGCAACTAAGAGATAGCATAGATAAAATGGGACCTCAAAATAAAAAGCTTCTGTTCATCAAAGAAATGTCTCTAAACTGTAGAGAACACCCACAGAGTGGGAGAAATATTTGCAATATACATCAGACAAGGACTGATAACCAGAATATACAGGGAACTTAAAAACTAAATTCTCCCAAACTAATGAACCAATAAAAAATGGGATGTGAACTAAACAGAACTTTCTCAAAAGAAGAAATCAAATGCCAGAAAACACATGAAAAAATGCTCACCATCTCTAGCAATAAAGGAAATGCAAATTAAAACCACACTAAGATTCCCCACCCCTGTTAAAAGCCATCATCAGCAACACCACCAACAACAGGTGTTGGCGAGGATGCGGGGAAAAAGGAACCCTCTTACACTGTTGGTGGGAATTGTAGACTAGTACAACCACTCTGGAAAAAATTTGGAGGCTACTTAAAAAGCTGGACAATCTACCATTTGATCCAGCAATACCACTCTTGGGATATACCCAAAAGACTGTTACTCCAGAGGCACCTGCACATCCATGTTTATTTGCGGCACTATTCACAATAGCCAAGTTATGGAAAAGCCAAGATGCCCCAGCACTGACGAATGGATTAAGAAAATGTGGTATCTATACACAATGAATTTTTATGCAGCCATGAAGAAGAACAAAATGTTATCATTCGCGGTAAATGGATGGAATTGGAGAACATCATTCTGAGTGAGGTTAGCCTGCCAAAAGACCAAAATATAGTTTTCCCTCATATGTGGACATTAGATCAAGGGCAAACACAACAAGGGATTGGACTATGAGCACATGTAAAAGCGAGAGCACACAAGGAGGGGTGAGGATAGGTAAGACACCTAAAAATTAGCTAGCATTTGTTGCCCTTAACGCAGAGAAACTAAAAGCAGATGCCTTAAAGCAACTGAGGCCAATAGGAAAAGGGGAACAGGAACTAGAGAAAAGGTTAGATCAAAAAGAATTAACCTAGAAGGTAACACCATGCACAGGAAATCAATGTGGTCAATGCCCTGTATAGCTATCCTTATCTCAACCAGCAAAAACCCTTGTTCCTTCCTATTATTGCTTATACTCTCTACAACAAAATTAGAGATAAGGGCAAAATAGTTTCTGCTGGGTATTGAGGGGGGGGAGCAGGAGTGGGTGGTAAGGGAGGGGTTGGGGGCAGGGGGGAGAAATGAACCAAGCCTTGTATGCACATATGAATAATAAAAGAAAAATGAAAAAAAAAAAGGCACAGTGAGGAATATATGCACATGGATAACACCATACTTGCCAAAAAAAAAAAAAAAAAAAAAAGAATTCTTTGGATTTTCCATGAGCAAGTTATAACTTCTTATTGGCTCCATCATTGTTTAATTAGTCAAATAAAATCATTGATGCATTCATAATGCATCAATGCCTAGGCTAGGCTGCCTATCTAATGGTATATACCATATAGATACATAGTAGGTTCTACTGTCTAGGATTATGTACTAGGATACTGTATGTTGTGTTCACACCACAACAAAACTACCTAACACATTTCTCAGAATGTATCTTTATTGCCAAGTGTGTATTACTGTGGTAATAATGATGCATATCTTCTAGGATTATTGTGAAAAATATGAAAGTAAATGAGAGTACATAAAAATTAAAATAGTGACTGGTGCATGATAAAGTATGCAAACTGTACAAATTAGTAGGAAGACAGCCACGGGGCATTGTTTGAAAATGAAAAACAGTATAAAAGGGTATTAAGTGATTACATGAGTCGTAGGTTATCCATGCTATAGAATACCATGTAGAGTTTGTAAAAATTAAGCAGATCTAGTCGTCTTAGTGTAGAATAATCTCTATGTGAAAAATGCACGTTGCAGGCCAGTAATATTGTATATGGTGTGCTTACAATAGTATAAGGGAAAAAAATCACAAAATGCCCATTTAAAACAACCAAACCTATATTTGAAAGTATGTGTATGTATAGAGATAGAGAAAGTATATATAGGCATTTTTTAACAATGACTGCCTTTGGGGAGGAAAGTACTGGGGGATTTTATAAAGATCTGATTTGTTTATTTTCTTTGTTGTATTTATGTATATCTGTGGAATTAACAAAGAAAACTAAGAATATCTTAGTAATGGTTTTCAGAAATGTTTACTTTCTAATATAGTATAAAATATGTACTTACTATTTTGATTTGACAAATATTTTGACAATTTTTCTAGTGTGTTGTTTTGTTGTCCTTAACTAATCAGTAAACTTAATGATCCTCCAAATGATAAAAGCATATATCTCTGGATATTTACAGATCACGGGAGTAGCCTCTTGCGATACTTTCTAACATCTCTGAGAATTTCCGTTAAAGCTTACATCTGACTCTTTTATAAGTTTACCAACATATGTTAAAGTTATATAAATCAATATGTAGTATCTTACTCTCCTAACAATAAACAACTGGAGAACAAAATTTATGCTTACTTCTCATTTTATTTCTCAAAACATAGTATTTTGTATATAATGAGTATTCAATAAATAGTTCTGAGATAATATTTTAAATTACTCTATTGCCAAGTACAAAAGGGCTTGAGATTAAAAACATATATTCTGAGCAGACTACATGTAAGCAATTGTGTAACTGTAAACATACCACATATAAAAGTATTACAACAATTTTCATTATCTGTTATTCTAGTACTTCAGTTACAAATATATCATGGTCCTTTGTCTTAGGAAATGGATACTTAATTTATGATTATCTCAAAAAGACTTTCTCATAGAAAGTCCACAAGTGAGACAAAGCTCGAATGGATCTCCTTAAACTTGAGAACTTCAGAAAATTATTTAGAGTACAGATAACCTTAGTATTGTTTGTTTTTCCTGCTTTTTTTCTTTTTCAGACTTGGGATGTAGCGTTATCACGAACTGCCAGAGCATGGGGGAAAAAATGTGTATTTGAGCGTAATAGTCATTTAGAAGACTCTCAAATGGCCCATCCTACCTTTAATGGTATTGGTGAAAATATGTGGGTTGGCCCTGAAAATGAATTTACTCCATCTATTGCTATCAGAAGTTGGTATGCAGAGAGGAAAAAGTATGATTTAAAAAATAACACTTGCTCTGATGACTGTTCTCATTATATTCAGGTATGTAATTTTTATATTGTTATTAAATTCAATAGACTTCTTAATTTATGTTTCAAATTTATAAGAACTCAAGTGGTAAAATTACTATTTCAAGAAAAGTCAAAATTCTAACTAGCCTTGTATCTTCAAAATGTTCGTAATTCTATCTGTGAAATATACAATCAAAACATTTCTTTATATATAGTAAATCTCATCTCTATACTCCAAGATCAAATGTACTTTTCTAAAATAAATAAATATTTATATAAATATATATAGTGAATGCTGAAAAAGGAAGTAAGAATCCAGTAAATAAATGTCACATACAGATTAGTGATCATAAACAAAAATGATAGATTTGACAGCTTTTACATAGATCAGTATACATACTGCTATATAGCTGATTGATTAAAACATTGTAAATGCAAATACTATTATATCCATGCCTCATGTCCAGTGATCCTCCCTTATACCTTTTACCCCAGGAATGCAGGGCCACTTTCATTTCTTGCACACATCTTTACTATTTCACATATCCATTGTTTAATTACCATCTATTCATAAATCTGGTACTACACTGAGGGTAGAGACCTTGTCTTCTCATCCATGTATTCTCAGCACAGCAACATGACATTATTTAGTCTTCACTAAAAATTTGTATCAGGAATCCAGAAATTTCAAATGAACTCTCAAGTTTATTTAAGACACAATTGTTTTTCAATCAATAGACTTTGATATCATGTTTTAGGTAAAACTTTAGAATTGTTCATTTTGAACTCATGTCTTTTCCATCAAATTAATTGTGCATCAAAGAATATTTACCTGTTTTTTCCCCATGGTTTTTGTGAGACAGGGTCTCTATATAACTCAGGTTGGCCTCAAACTTATGATCCTCCTGCCTTTGGCTCCTGGGTGCTGGATTCTAGGTGTGTACCACCACATCCTGCTCTTTCACTCTTCTTTTGATCAGTTCTTCTCTAGAAAGTTATGGTGATTCTTCTTTGTCATACTTATATCCAAGTTAGACTTCCTAGACAGGTGTGGCAGTAGATGCCTGTCATCCCAACTACTTGAGAGGCAGGAGGATCAGGAGTTCAAGGTCAACCTGAGCAAAGTTAACAAGATCCTATGTCAAAAACAAAGACAAAAGGGTTCAGGGTATAGCTTAAGTGGTAGAGTACTTGCCTACCAAGCATGAGGCCCTGAGTTCAATCTCCAGTACAGGAAAAGAAGTTAGACTTCTCAATGTAATTTTAATACTCTCAGTAAAGTAACCAAATCTACTCCCTGCCCCGTTACTATACTCTTTATTTTATGCTCCTTAATCCTAATTTTCTACACATTATTTATCTGCTTGACTTCATTTTCATTTTCTTCTTTTTCAGTACTGAGAATGGAACTCAGGGCTCAGGGCCTTACATGTTAGGCAAGTGCTCTATGGACTGAGCTACATTCCTAGCTCACATTTGATTCTCAATTTTTTAATGTATTACTACTCTATTTCTTTAAGAATCAAACTTTTAAAATCACTAAAGTTTGAGATAAATGAAAAAAGAAAGGTGTTTAGCAAAACAAGTACTTTTGTTTATGAGAAGTGTTAAAAATATTTAGAAATATAGCAGTCATACAGAGAATTTCTGGAATGTCTTTCATTATTCCCATCTTTTTCACTCCAATTCAGGATGCGTTTTTCATTTTATAGGCACCAGATCTTTTTCTTGTTCACCTTTTTTCTCCTAATGAAAGCCTGTACTTTGTTGTTGTTTTTCTAACATGAGTCTGGAGTTCAGGGCCAGATATGAATGGGTGCTTTAAATTTGGGAAGTGGATAGATCAGTGCTGTCCAACATGTCAACCACTAGCTATACGTGGCAATTGAAGTTTTTTTCTTTCTTTTATTTTATCATTTTTACATTTACTTACATGTGTATACATTGTTTGTGCCACCTTCCTCCTCTTCCCCTCTCCCCCTCACCCCCACTTCCAGGCAGAACCTGTTCTGCCCTCTTGTTCTCTGATTTTGCTGATGAGAAAACATAGGCGATAATAAGAAAGACATAGTGTTTTTGCTAGTTTCAGATAAAGATAGTTACACAGAGAGATCCCTACTGTTGCTTCCATGCACAAGTGTATTGCAATCCACATTGGTTCATCTCTGCCAGACCTCTTCACTACTTCCTGGTCACTTTCCCATAGTGGCCTCTGCCAGTTTAAGATTACTTTATTCACTCCTCTACAGTAAGCACTTCAACCACATTCAAGTTTTTGGTTTCCTTCCCTTCCCCTATTCCTCCCGTGCGTGTTCTCCCCTTAGTGTGTGACCCATGTCAAATAACATTAATACATTTGTTTTGGGTCCATAATCCACATATGAGGGAGAACATGAATGCATATATTAAAAGCACAGAAAGATCTCAAATAAATAGCCTCACACTACATCTCAAACTCCTAGAAAAACAAGAACAAGCAAAACCCAAAACAAGCAAAAGGAGAGAAATAATAAAAATAAGGGCTGAAATTAATAAAATAGAGACCATATTTTATTTTATCTTGTAATCTTGCTTCCACAACAAAAAGAGAGATGCTGATACTATTCAATTACTGTTTACATGTGTATCTCTTTGCTTCCCTTCTATGATCTATCCTTTTTTTCTCCCTCTTATTAACAACTTTCATTTTTAAAAGTTTTTCTCCTTTCTTTCTAATCTTCCTTCCTCTCTGCCAATGACCTAGAACTTTGTAATTAAACCAGCTGTTGGAAATCGCTCTGAAGCATTACTCAGGATCAGTGTCCTTCAAACTGTTCTTCCTAATACAGTACTGGTGTTTCTCTAAATACTTGTGTCTAAATGAAAAATAATTCATACTCCTTGAATTGCTTGATTAAAGGTTCTGTGTAAATGGAATATATTATGTATAAAATAAGAGAGTAAATATTTAGAATTAAATTTTGTGTTTTTTTGAAAACTTTATTTTAGCTTGTGTGGGACAACTCTTATAAAGTTGGTTGTGCTGTTACATCATGTTCAAGAGTTGGACAGATTATTCATGCAGCACTTTTCATATGTAATTATGCACCAGGGTAAGTTACTTTAAATTAAAAAACATAAAATTAAATTGAGAATACTTCAAACTTTTCTCCTAGCTTCTTTTTTTTTTAATTCCTTGGTTCCAATTCTTTTTTTAAAAACTTTCTTTTTTTAAATTTTATCATTTCTACATGTGTATACATGGTTTGGACCGTCTCTCCCCTGCACCTCCCCCCACAACCCTGCCTCCCACGCCCCCCACTTCCAGGCTGTCCTAGTTTCTAATATATTCTTCTAAATGTTTTATGAACTGTAAAAGCATTAAAGATAAGGTTAAGTAAAGGCTTTATATTGAAGTATTTCATTTCCATAATGAAATAAGTCATAGCTTGAGCATATTGATTTTACTTATCAGCTAGCCAAGTGTTATTTCCTAAAGAAATCTGAACTGTAGTATTATTTCATAATATCTACTGAATTACTACAGGATTCAAATTATTTCCCAAAATAATTTATTCCCTGATTTATAATAAAAGTCAAAAGAACGGAATGTTAGATATATTGAAATTTTGTAGTAAGAATTGTTTTAGGAATGCATCAGTTTCATAACTTAAAGGACACAACTGACCACACAGTGAAGGTTGTTTTATTAATGGAGGCTAGCTTATTATACATAGGAGTCATAATATCTCAGAGATGGAAGAACACTTCAAAGCCTCCCTGTCAAGCTATCCATATGAAGCTTGAATTCTTTTCACTTACTCCTATGTACCTATTTACCTTACCTCTGTTCCTACCATTGATGGGAAAACTGCTGCCTCCCAAAATAGCCTCCATTTCTGGAGAGCTCTATTGAAAAAGCTCCAAGCTTTCCTACAGATCAATATAATACTATAAATAATGTTGTTATAACTTCCAAATGGGTGAGGAAATATTCTAATCAACATCTTAAATAAAAAACAAAACCTTCACTACCTACTAAGATGGAAGAGGAATCTCTGCCAAATAAAACATTTTAGGACTAAATCAAACAGAAATGAGAAAAACAAACTTTGAATACAGATTATATTCCCTTAGATGGGGTAAGCAATAGAACTGTGTTATAAGACGAATAAAACTCAGAAAACCCTTTCCTGGTGAAAAGCTGGTAATGTTTATAGTCTTGGCAAGGAGATAAATACTTGAACATAAATAGATAATATACTTATTAGATAATAAAACATACCATCAAAAATAAAGCAGGAAAAGCAAATGAGTAATGACTGGTGTGGAAGAGAGATTAGGTAGTCCTAGAGGAATTGGCATGAAGCTGAAAACCACAAGATAAGAAGATGGCTAAAGAATATTCCAGGGGTGGAGTATGCGTAAAATCCCTGAGGTCATGTGAATTTAGCATGTCTCAGAGCTGAATAACTGTGATTAAAGGTAGGAGTTGAGTTGTGAAGAGTTAAGTAACAGCTAAACCAAATAGAATAACACAGGTCTTGTTAAAACGTTTGAAATTCATTCTAGGTGATGACAAAGCCACTGGAAGGTCTTACACAGTTGAGTAACATGATCTCATTTGTGCTTTGAAAAGAACAACTTCTTTTTTTTTAATTTGTTTTATTATTCATATGTGCATACAACACTTGGGTCATTTCTCCCCACTGCCCCCACCCCCTCCCTTACCACCAACCCCACCCCCTCCCTCTCCCCTCGACCCGCTCGATACCTGGCAGAAACTGTTTTGCCCTTATCACTAATTTTGTTGAAGAGAGAGATAAGCAATAATAGGAAGGAACAAATGTTTTTGATAGTTGAGATAAGGATAGCTATACAGGGAGTTGACTCACATTAATTTCCTGTGCGTGTGTTACCTTCTAAGTTAATTCTTCTTGAACTAACCTTTTCTCTAGTTCCTGGTCCCCTTTTCCTATTGGCCTCAGTTGCTTTTAAGGTATCTGCTTTAGTTTCTCTGTGTGAAAAGAACAACTTTTTAAAAAGATTACTCTGGGTGTTGTGTAGGCAAACCCAGAATATAATGAAAAATGTATACAAAGAAGTTCAGGCTGGGCATCAGTGGCTCACACCTGCAATCCTAGCTACTTGGAAGGCAGAGATCAGGAAGATCTCGGTTCGAAGCCAGACAGGACAAATAGTTTGTGATACCCTCTCTCAAAAACATCAAATGCAAAACAGGGTTGCTGGTGTGGCTCAAGTAGTAAGCACCTGCCTAACAAATGTGAGGCCCTGAGGTCATACCTGGGTACCAAAAACATAAATAAAATAAAACAAAAAGGAAGTTCAATTAGGAGGATGTTTCTATAACACAGGCTAAAGACTGTGCTCTCTTGGAATACAGTTTTAGCACATGAATTGGTTTTCTACTGTTGCCTATTGAATTATCACAAATGCAGTAATTTAAAACATAATTCATAGCCTGGTACAGTGGCTCACACCTGTAATCCTAGGCACTCAGGAGGTATGATAGGGAAGATCTTGGATCCAGTCCAGCCTTGGCAAAAGTTAGCAAGACCCCTATCTCAACCAATAGCTGGGAACAGTGGGGTACACCTGTCATTCCAGCTGTGTGGAAAACAGAAATAGAAATATTGCAGTCCATGCCAAGCCAGGCAAAAATGTCGACTCTATCCCCAAAATTACTAAAGCAAAAAAGGGCTGGGGCAAGGCTCAAGTGGTGCCGCGCCTACCTAGTAAGCACAAGGCCCTGAGTTTGAACCTCAGTACCACAAAAATAATTAATTAGTCATTTATAATATAAAAAAGCAGCATTTACTTATTACCACAGTTCTATAGGTCATAAATTCACAGTGTAACTGGATTTGCTACTTATAACTTTAAAGCCCAAAATCTATCTGTCAACTGAACCCTTAATTAAAGGCTCTGGGGACAAATGTGCTTCCAGTCAAACTCGTTGAGGTTGTCGTCAGAATTCAGTTCCATGTATTATGGAATTCAGGTCTCCATATCCTTGCTAGATGTCAGCCAGGCATTGCTGTCATCTAGAAAAGGCCCCAATATTTCTTGACAAACCACCCCCACTCCTGGCCATCTTCCAGTCAGCAAAGTCCTGTTAGTCTTCTCCTGCCCCTAATATTTGACTTCTCTTCTGTAACAAGCCAAAGAAAACTCTCTGCTTTTAAAAAGCCAAACTGACTAGACCAGCCCAGGTGGTAATCAGCTGATGCATTTGACTTTAAGGTTTTCTATATAATATGTAAACACCTGGTCCAGCATTGAACCTGTGAATTTGTTATTGCTAAATTACACATCCAGGCCAGGGACAGAAAGAGCACATCAATCTAGCTAACAACAAAGTCAGTCACAAAACAAAAATTAAATCAAGGGAAAGAAAACAGGCAATTAAAACCACCAACTAGCCTATCAAGAGCATAATTGCACAGCACCAAGTGGAGTGATGGAAAGAAGAAAAAGGAATGGAAACCACTTTCCTCAAAAAAATAATTCAATACAGGATTCAGTAGGAAATGAAGAAAATAGTTACCCAGTAACTGACCCCAACAAAACAATGATAAATGTCACTAAAAAGCCCAGTGACACCCACAAAAAAAAGCCCTCAAGAAGAAATCTTGCAAGAAATCACTGAGAAATTCATGGAGAAGATACTAGCATGGTTAACCAGAATGTGGAGATGCACTCAAGAAATTTCAAGACACCAAAAATAAAGAACAAGAGAAAACACAGAAATAAGTAAATGAACTCAGAGAGGACTTCAACAAACACCAAAGTAAAACAAAGGACACTATAGAAAAAGAGATATGAATTAAAGATGGCAACATAAAATGTAAAAGAGGAGTTGAACAAAGATATGAAAAACATCAGAATAAAAGAATCAAACAGAAATCCTGGAAATAAGAAGTCCCTTTAGTCAAACAAAAAACACAGTGGAAGGCTCTAAAGCAGACTAGACCAAGTGGAAGACAGACTCTCAGAGCTCAAAGATAAAATAGAAATTAAAGAAAAAACAGAAGAAATCTTAGTCAAACAACTCAAGAGCTGTGAAAGGAATATGCAAGAACTCAGAAATCAAAAGACCAAACCTCAGAATCATGAGCATTGAAGAAGGAGAAGAGGTGCAAGCCAAAAGGATATATAACATATTCAATAAAATAATAACAGAAAATTTCCCAAATCTCAAGAAAGTTTTGCCCATTCAGGTACAGGAATGTCTTCCAGGACACCAAACAGACTTAACCAAAATAGAACCTCCCCACAGCATATTATCACTAAAACAACAGTACAAAGAACAGAGAAAGAATATTGAAGGCTGTAAGAGAGAAAAAACAAATAACATAAAGGAAAAACCATAACAGCAGATTTCTCAATGGAAACCTTAAAAGCAAAAAGGGCATGGAGAGAGGTATTTCAGGCACTGAACAAAAATAATTTCAGCCCTAGGATAGTCTACCCAACAAAGCTATCATCCAAAATTGACAGAGCAATAAAAATCTTCCATGATAAGCAGAAACTAAAACAATATGTGACCACCAAGCCCCACTACAGAAGATTCTCCAAGGAATTCTGCAGACAGAAGATGAAAGCAAACAAAAACATGACAGGACAGGATGTATCAAACTGCAGGAAAAGAAAAGTCAGGTAATCAGAGAGTAGCATTGATTCAGCAGCACACAATCAAATCCTTATGCAACAAAAACAAGTAAATGGCAGGAATCACCACATACCTATCAATAGTAACACTAACTCAACTCCCCCAACAAAATACACCCTTTAGCAAACAAAATTAAAAAGGAAGATCTGCTGGTAGAGTGGCTCAAGTGGTAGAGTGCCTGCCTAGCAAGTGTGAGATCCTGAGTTCAAACCTCAGTGCTGCAAAATAAATAAATAAAAGTCTGAAGAACTATAATATTATCAAAAAAATTTTAAAAATAAAAAGATCTGACAATCTGTTGTTTACAAGAGACCATCTTATTGACAGAAATAAACACTGGCTCAGGGTGAAAGGCTAGAAGAAAATTTCCCCAGCTAATGGCCCCTGAAAATAGGCAAGAGTAGCAATACTTATACCACT